GCCAGCGGATTGAACTGGGCGAAATCGAGTATCGCATCAAGCAAAGCCTACCCAACAAGCCAGACGCCATCGTTGACATCCTCTCTCCTAAGGATGCTTCCAGCCAGCCTCGCTTGGTGGCATTCCTTCCCGTGCCCGTTGAAGAAGTTTCCTCTGCTACCACCATTATTCCCCCACCGAGCGACCGTCATGTGACAGCAGTGTCCGGACTCGAGGACCGGCTGGCCGACTTCCTGCCAATGCACATGATTCCGAGTGCTTACCTTCCAGTGAACTACATTCCCAAACTGCCCTCTGGCAAGGCAGACCGCAAGACATTGATCCGGTGTGGTAGCGATATGACTCAAAGACAAATGGCCGAGTACACGGGGGCAACCGAAGAGGCGCGACCCCCGACTACGGAGATGCAGCTTGCGTTGCAGCAACTCTGGGCCGAGGTTCTCAGGACATCGGCCGCGCAGATCAGCCTCAATGACAATTTCCTCCGGCTGGGAGGGGATTCGATCACGGCCATGCGACTAGCATCCGCGGCTCGTGCTCAAAGCATTCCTCTCTCGACTGCCACCGTCTTCCAGCACCCGACTCTGGAGGCAATGAGTGCCGTTGCAGAAACCTTGTCGCATCAACAGCGACCTCAGACATTCGAACCTTTCTCGACGCTGAAGTCCTTCACCAAGGACCAGCTGTTGGACGAGATCGTGCTGCCACAAGTTGACTTCCCTGCCTTTAACATCGAGGACATGCTTGAGGTCACCGACTTCCAATCGCTTGCCATTGGCGGTGGCCTCAACAAGACCCGCGGTTGGAGCAATTACCTGGTGTTCGATTTTACCGGGCCGATCGACCTACGACGCCTGCAGACGGCCTGCGAGGAGCTGCTGAAGCACCACGCGATCCTTCGCACGATTTTTGTGAAGACCAGCTCGCAACTGCTCCAAGTTGTGCTGCGATCAGTAAGTCCCGAGTACACGTTCCATATCCAGGATGATCAAGACCCATCCGAGACACTTGTTCGTGAAGATCTTGCTCGGCCGCCACGTCTAGGCGAACCCATCGTTCGATTCATGGTGATTAAGAACGGGGCAATCCGACACCGTCTGATCATGCGGATCTCTCACGGGCAATACGACGGCTCTTCCATGCCGCTCTTGATGCAAGACCTCCGCAGCGCCTACAGAGGCGAGTCTCTTGCGAAGCGACCCCAGTTCGCCGATTTCGTGCGCATGCAGTTACTCGCCAATGAGGGCGCCGAGGCCTTCTATCGACAGATGCTGGCGGGATCCGCGATGACCGCGGTGGTCGAACACACCAGGCCGTCCATCACCAACGTGCTCAATACGATGATCGTGGACATGGTCCCCTTGGTCGCATACAAGGATTATGGCATCACCGCCGCTACGGTGATCAAAGCAGCGTGGGCGATGGTGCTGGGAGAGCTGGCCGCCACATCGGACGTGGTCTATGGCCACATGGTGTCGGGTCGCAACCTCGCCCTGGACAACGTCGAGTCCGTCATGGGACCGTGTCTGAACATTGTGCCCGTCCGTGCGGACATGAAGACTGTGCGCACGGTCCTCGAGCTGCTGCAGATGATCCAGCAACAGCAGACCGACACGATTCCACACGAGTCCCTCGGTTTTCAGCACATTGTTGACCAGTGTACCGATTGGCCTGCCGCGACGCGATTCAGTTCGGTCTTCCAGTACCAAGAGTTCGGGGCGGAAGAGGATCCCACGCAGCCGGTCTCGATGGAAGGAACCTTGAAATGTGCCCCGGGATTCATCTGCCCAGCCCCCGATGCTTGTGATTTGTCAATTCTGGCCACCCCGGTGGGCTCGCAGGTGCGGATCGAGATGATCTTCTCGACTCACGCCATGTCGCAGTCGTTCGCGGAGGAGACGTTGAAGAAGCTGTGCGCCAAGGTGGAGGCGATCGCGCGCCAAGATGTCAACACCTCGCTGCCCTCGGAGGCGCAGCTCGCGTCGCGACAGGCTGTCATCCCGTTACCTGAGCCGGGAAAGAATATGGCGAATGGGCTCGTCAACGGAATTGTGAAGCAGATGGTAAATGGAATCAATGCGATGGGTGAAATGAGCGGACTTAATGGGGTCATGGAAGGGGAAAGTGAGGCAGAAGAAAGAGAAGAAGGAGGAGAAGGGGGAGCGGCAGATCACGAGATCAACCTCTTGGCCTCGGTGCCTATGAGCTAAGGCATCAATCACCAGCCACCGTCTTTCAAAATGTGTATAATATCAAATCACTCTTTTTGCCAGAACAATGTTCCACCACATGAACATCTATACATCAGACATTCAGCCGAAAACTGCCCTTTGAGAGCCCCCCTTTGAGCCCGTGTAGCCAGCGTTTCAAGGCAGCCATCGACGTAGTACAGTACAATAAACCCACCAACCCTTGCGAATTCATCAAGCCATACACAGCAGATGCACCCTTCTCCACGATTCCACGAGGTCACATCGCCACCAAAATCACTCTTCAAAGCCACAGTGTCCTACCTACAAGTCACTTACGCGTATGAGCATCCTCCCACCCACCCACACCGCCACAGCAAGCCTTCTCGCCCCAACAATGCCAATGCAACACCACCTAACACCCCTTGCATTCCTTCACCCACAACGAAATCGGCTGATACTGGGAGTCCGATCCCTTCCCCAGATGGTAGATCTCCCTGATCTGGCCCGAGTTGGAATCCACCCCGAAAGCGCTGCTCTTCCCGTTGACCGTCAGGTAATTCTGATTGTCGACCCCGAATCCCGCCACGACGGCACCGCTGGGGGCGTCAGCGTCGGGGCTCGTCAGCGTCACGGGTGCGTCCGTACTCCCCATGACGTAGAGATTTTGTACGCCGGCGGAGGAGCGGTGTTGCGCGGCGCCGGTGATTTTGCTGTTGTTGTTGCCTCCTTTCACTGTTCCTCAATTCGCATGGTTAGTAGTTGGAACGGATGAGGGTTATATTGGGTGGGTGGAGCTTACAGATCAGGACGGGATAGTTGTCAATGTCTCCGGTGCCGATAAAGGCATGGGCTAGAGCGATGTCAGATAAAGAACAAGACTCTCGGAAGCTGGAGAATGGGAGGGGAAGGAGGCATACCACCGTCGGTGACCACAGTCCAGCCTCCATCTGCGACAAGAGTATACGCAGAGGGGAAGGGAAGAGCTGCGGCGCTGGCTGCGAGTGCGGGCACGACAGCTGCGATGGAATATTTCATTGCGATGTTAATGAGGGCTCCGCCTAAGCAAGAGGTGAAGGCGAATGCAATCGACTAGGAAAGATGGACGGTTTTATAATCGGGTGGCCAATGCTTGTGGCAGTGTCTTCTGCGTCAGTCTGCATCATGATGTTATTCATAGTCTCGGCAGGTGCGAGAGCGCCTCTGTCTTACCTACCTGAGAGCAGCTGCAGGGATTGTCTCAAGAACCGGCCTTCAAGGTTGTTCCAGATGAGGCTACGTGGGACGAACAAATCTTTGTCTTGCCGTTGGAATTGACATTTGCTCACCCTTTACTTTCCTAGATCCAAGAGATCGGCTTTTATATCTTAGATTTGGTTCGAGTCTCCTGGTCTGAAGATTTCGGCTGCGTGCTGATCAAAGTCGAGAAGGGCTGATCTCTGGAGTACTGTGCAACCCCCTTGAGCCACGGTATGGAGCGAGCGACGATCCCTGTGGCGTTGAAGACCGGCTGTCGATCTTCTGACTGAGATTTCGGGCGACCAAAGCATTGGACCACCACCCTCCATACGACTCTCTCGGCTACAGACACCTCTAAGGCTTCAGAGAGAGTTTGGTACACAATTCTTTTCGTCATGAGTTGCAGTCTCCGAGAATGCGGCCACGACTCATAGTCCTTTCATGTGTTCCAACATAGAGAAGACTGCACAGACTGAATGGTGCAGACTGTTGGTTGTGTGGCTGCTGTGACTATCGCCTGTGACGGAAGCTAAAAGTATCACATGCGAATATTCCTACTATGTGAAATAAACCATGACTTACTACTCAGTCTATTTTTCAGCATGGATGCATACGTGAAGGCCCAGAGACATGCACAGACCGTTGTCCACCATTATGAAGATGCTGAGTCATCTATACCAGCAACTGTCAACCCCCGCCCCATGAGCTTCGCGGTCGTATTAGCCCACTTGCCTTACTACGAACAAGGATTACTAGTTTCCATCAAGTTTTAGTATTAGGCAGATCATCGTTAGTCTTCTATGGGATATTGGATATTCTAAACACCTACAGTCACCGCCCATACTTCATCACTCACACCTTTAGAGGGAGCATGAAGCCTGAATATGTATTGTTTGCTCATTTTGGTATACTTATATGCCTCATACGGTACCAGCTCTACAACTCTCTCCTTCACAACGTACACGATTGGCATGATAATGGCAGTGGAAAATAAAGCGAAGAGACTAGCATCACAAACACGCAAGTCCATGGTCTCATAGACTCATAGCATCTCAATCATCAATCAGAAGAATTGCCACAGTACTACAGGAGTGATAGCCCGTGGTGGCCGCATGGCGAAGATACCTTTTCTTTTTCATAGACTCAAGGTCGGCTAGAAAGACATTAGGCTTAGCAGGACGAAGCTCAAATTGGCGAGAATTACTCAAGGTACAGTAACAATTGCTAGATTCCTTGACCAGGTGCAAACCTGCTGGCTATATTTCCCACCAGACAGAAGTCGTCATTGGGGAACGAATTGACTTTCTACACTAGTTAGAGAGAGAGAGAGAGTGAGAGATCACCGCATAGCTTCGATGCTATATACAGATGATTCACAAATGACCTAGAGGATGGTCTCAGGGCCTATCAGTGGCAATAAAGTGCAATATGACATCCAGGTACTTCCACGTCCCCCCGCACTCACAAAGGGCGCCTTCCCGCATCGGGAGCCCGCTGCAAAATGTTTTTGCGGGTAACTTATAAAACCCACCCACTTCCCCCTGCAGCCACTCCCCCTTCGCCGTCCGGACTGTTTATTCCCATGCATACCTCGGACGCACAATGTCATACCCCGAGTTCCACGAACGCCACAGGGCCTTCGCATTCCACGACACTGACGGCTCCCCAGTATATGAGGATGGGTGGGGAGGGCTCTGCGGCCGCATCGTGGCGCGAAACGACCTCGCGGCTCTCCGACTCTATCACGCATCGCCCAACACGCGGGTATTCTGGGAGGGATACGAGGCCCCCTACTGGCACCCCTTCTTTGTGGCGGCCGGTTCCGGCAGCTGGGAGGCTCTTCGCGCCCTCATCGAGATCTACTTGACAGATCCAACGTATAAGAACCCCGAGCAGCCGCCGCTGGACCAATACCTGACGCAACTGGACTTCTCGCCCATCAACGAGGCGTGTGCTGCCGCGAATCGAGAGATGGTGCTCTGGCTCCTGCGGCACGATCCACCGTTGGCGACGCTGCAGGATCGGGATGCCCGCGGCCACACGCCGCTGTTCAGCGCGGCGAGCGGGCTTAGGCGAGGGGTGGGCTTTCCCGAGCATGAGGAGTTCATTCACTTTTTACTAGACCAGGGGTCTTCGGTTCGGGGGTCGGATGTTCTCCATGCTGGACAGGAGGACGAGGAACAGAGACGCGATGACGATGACGGCGATGCTAGTGAGCCATCGCAGCCTGCGAAAAGACTGCAAGAGACGATGCTCGGAGCCGCAATACCGCATGCTAGCTACCAGTTGACATCGCGGCTGATCGCAGAAGACGCAGACGTGCATGCCCGGCAGAGTTGGTGTGATCCTACCCTGTGGATGACTGATGAGGGTGTCATTGGACGCAGCAGAGAAGTCACCGCCTTACATATCGCCAGCGTGTACAGAAATCTCGAGGGGATTCGTGCGCTGGTGGACCATCGCGGCGAGGGGGTGAGTGTGGCGGAGATGATTTCCCGCCAGGACGATCAGGGCCGGATTCCCCTCCACTGGGTTTTGATGGGCACGCCGGACGACAAGCCTCGAAAAGAGAACAAGGATGATGACACAGATGATGAAATGGCGCAGGAAGAGAAGATACCCTCCGAACGGTTGGTTGAGACCGTCAAATACCTTCTAGCAGTAGACCCTGAGACAATCAACGCCCGAGACCGGCTGGGGGCCACGGCGTTTCATTATACGGTGAGATCCCGCCACGCGGGACCGGTGAGCGTTCTGGCGGTGGTGGAGATGTTGCTGGAAGCTGGACCGCTAGCGGCGACTTTGAAGGCTGTCCGCAACGACGAACGCAAGAGAGACACTTTCGAGCCTACAATTCTACAGGATGCAGTAGATGGCCATGGTATGCGACTCGGGGAAATCAACGATGCGCGGTTCACGCAGTTAATCGAGATCTTGCTGGCTCACGGGGCCGATGCTCGATTGTGTCTGCATCGCCTGTGTGCCCACGTTTGGGATGAGCAAATTCCACTGGCAATGCTTGAGCGTCTACTGCAATCTTCGCCAGACATAAACGCGACGGATGCCGATGGCTGTACAGCGATGCATTATCTCGTTAAAAACATGGATCAGGTCGAGGCAGCTAGGTATCTGATCAGTTGTGGAGCAGAGGTGGACGTGGCTGACCAGCAGGGGAATACACCCCTCCATCAGGTCATGAAAGGGACACTCATCCGCAAGCTCGACGAACGTGGACGGCCTGACCCCTCGCAGCCCAAGGATGCTCCGGTCCGAGCACGAAAGCAATGGATCGAAATGCTGGTGGAGGCAGGAGGCTCGATGGATCGACCCAATGCTTATGGAAAGACTCCTAAAAGGCTGCTGGAGGAGCTCACAGAGAGGTTGGACCAAATGCGGATGGCCGAGGCTACCCAAATTGGTCGAGGACGTGGACGCGGAGTAAAAGAAGGGGGCAACAGATGAATGAACTGGAATCTGTGGATAGACAAAAAAGTATATTTAGGCGAGGGCTTGGGCTAGTGAGCCCATACCGACAGGGATATAGCTCAGTAGCTTAGACTTAGTCGCATCTAAGGTAATCGATATCAGCAGCCTCCCCAGGCTGTGCACTCATTTTAACACAGGGCCGCGGTCTTGGCTTGGCCAGCACCTGGCATGGGCGGAAATGCGACTGATCCTCGCAAACGCACTAGATCAAGGCCAGTGGGCTTGAGGGAAGCACCCTAGAATCTCACTCTTGCGCTAGCACGCCAGATTAGACGAGCATAGTGAGCTGGCCAAGGAAATTCGGAACCCAGCTCTGGCTGCAATGAATTCCATCACTTTTTAAGAACTTCCCACCCTTACATCCTAAGCTCCCACTGCCAACTTCGGCTCATCATCTGATAATGGGTGCTCAATTTCCGCAATCCTTCCCTCCGCGCCCGTAATTCACCCTGTCTGACGCTCCATCGCAGCAGGGGAAAGTCGTCATCGTGACCGGCGGTGCATCCGGAATAGGACAGGAGCTGGTGCGCATGCTCTACCAGAAAGGGGCGACAGTCTACATTGCCGGCCGGTCCGAGCCGCACGCTCAGGCGGCCATCCAGACCATTCAAGCAAGCACCACCACCACCGTCAGGCGGCCAGCTGTACTATCTCCCTCTGCATCTAGACGATGAGAATAACGGTGCGTATGTGATCCCGTGGGGTCGACTGCATCCCGGGATGGCGCCGGTGGAGGAGAGCGGCACCGGGCGGGCGAGTGGGTTCTGGGAGTGGTGCGCGGAGCGGACGAGGGATCATTTGTGATCATATCGTCTGGAACCATATAGTGATATCAGAGAAAGTTTCGAGGGGATTGTATTGCAGTGCATCGATTGGGTGACCAGGGTTGTAGACGGGCGCTTGGTTAGCTTACTCACCGACTTGGTTGACCAGTTTTAGTGAGGTATTTGTTCTTGCTTGAAGGTGTCGATGAGGTTTAATTCTATTGGCGTCCGAATTTCCCTCAAGCGAGTGCTCATCTGCAGCTTCCTAGTGTCTACCCCTTAGTGAGGTAGGGCTAAGACCGTCATGTGCTTGGACCCGTGTGACGACCAATGGTGGGAAGGAAGACCTTAACGGAGTGCAGTCTGGACAGAAGCCCAAGACTGATATAAGAAGTAGTATCAATGGACCGGTGCTCGTCATTTGCACGTTGTCCTACATGATAAGGTAGAATGCGCAGACATTACCTCCACCGAATACGCCACCTAGTCGAAGTACTGTACCTGACATTGCCAGTTATAGAGCAAAATCTACTAGTTTCGTCTTCAAGCCCATGATTTGCCCAAGGTATTGAGGGTGGTGACATCATCCGGTATTGTTCCAGGCTTTGCTCGCTGCGGCAACATTCGACTCAATCATGGATCTAGAGTATATTTCATTATCCTGCAAATACCCGTCGACACTTCCCCCACCAGCTCCTTGTGGCGTACAGAATGAAGACTTGACCCAATCGCAGCTGCTATCGAGGGCAGGGTCGAGAGCTTGATACTCTGCATCAGCGCTCGAACTTTGCTGCCTACGAGCGCGTCACCTGTTGTAAGTTTTTCCGGAGTGGGGCCCTGCAGTAGTGGTGGGACCATTCACCACGAAACACATAACCAGGTGTTGTGGAATCAGGGCCAGGAACAAAAAACTGCGGACCCATGATATCATGATGTGCCAACGGGTGAGAAACCGCGAACATCAGCCAATGACCAAGGATGCCATCACAGCCTTACAGCCCTACAGCCCGTAGCCAAGCCGCCCACTTAAATGCTTATATCAAGCGCCCTTGATACCTCGGACTCAAACCATGCCAGCACCTGGGAAACATCTTTCCTATCTCAATATTTAAGCTCCTTCTCACTATGTTCGGCGGCACTTTATTTGCCTGGGTGCGGCCGTCGCCCGAAGCGCCCGTCGCCGAAAGCACCTGGAACCCCACCAGCCTGGAGATGCAAGAGCCACGCCGCATAGCAGCTTCGGCAAACAATGAGCTGATCACCGAGCAACCGGTAGGCCATTCTGAGTATCGAGTAACCATCCGTGACTAATGTAAATAGCGCATGGGCGAGCCAATGGTCCGACTACGAGGCGGGGGCGAAGGAGAGGATGTTTGTTGTGGACTGTTAGTGACTGGCCCCTGATTTGAGACGATGGTTCTACTTGCTGACAATAGAGACAGGTGTGCGGGTGTGAGCTGTTTCGAATGCTTCTCGTGCTGCGACTGCTGCTGCGACTGTTGCGACTGCTGCGGGGGTGGGGGAGGTCCCGGAGGCCCGCCCGGCCCGGGTCCGTGACTATGGCCTTATAAAAATGTCTAACTCCTACTGTCCGCTAGTCTGAGCGTATTTCCGAATTTCAATTACTTGCATTGTCTAGTAAGAGTTCTGCATTGGAGGTAGAACTGAAATCAGGGTAGAATTATAAGCATGAAGAGTGACCAGGTCCAGAATGGCCAATGGACTTGAACCGAGAGCGTACTCCCATTACCATTACGCTGTCACTGTTTTGCAAAGCTGTCGCATGGCTGAACACTAATCCACTACTCCCATCCGCCATCTCACGTCAACGTGGGGAGGAAAGTTTATCTTGGCTACTCTGGGGGTCTTTCTTCCACGCAAGAAAAATCCATAAAAAGAATAAATAAACATAGAACAATTTTACGTTATCTACTTGAAAGAAAGAAGAAGAGAAAAGAGAGAGAAAAGAAAGAGGAAAAGTGGAAAAAGAAAGATCAAACAAGGAAGCGAAGACACATTTCTTTCTTGAATTACATGAACCCTACTTCTTAGACGATCGAACTTGAGAAATAAATTTCACTATAAGACTAAAATAAGGTGACGGCAAAATACAATTTCAGAGTGTAGCTATGCTCCCAATGGACTCGATCAACACAATACTTTACATGTCAAACCATGCTCGTAATGGAGCCACTAAACATCACATGGTTTGAAGCTTTCAAAGCGCCTATCAACAGCGGCGTCAAGGTCACTGAATCGTATAAAAGGACGAGTGATTCCTGGACGAATATCCTCTTGGACCAACCCTCTGACGAACTTGACGAGCCATCGGAACGAACCATCTGCCATCTCAACGATCCGGCGCTCCAGCTGATTTCGCTCTTCAACAGTCCCTAGCCCTGCGTACTCGCGCCACACCGCATAAAAGTGCGTTCTATGTTGTGATCCCTTTAATGTGGCACCATGTGTCGGCTTAATTCCCTCTCCAGTCAGCTGCGCATGGACATACCACAGCATCTCGATAAAGTTTACCTCATTGAGATTGTAACCGGGATACGAGCCAAGGGCTCTCTGAAATGCCGGCTCGCCGCAACTGGTGATGCAGATCTTCACATCTCGCGGCCTGAGACGCACCCAGTCGGTCAGAGCATCCAGCACCCGAGTATGGTCCGCTGGATTGAGGTGATTCAACCCGTCAAGCTCCAGGAAAATTCTATGCTTTTCGTAGATGGCATCAGATGTGACTAGCCGATTCCAGGCGGACAGTACCTCGTGGTCCCCTATGAAGTAGTCCCTGGGTACCAGGGCCTGCCAGGCGGCGACGCACTTCTCATCCAAAAATTCTAGGGGTCGGCTGGGTGTTTTATCTGCCCTGCCAGGGAACAGCAAGCAAGCCAGCTCCGGGACTGTTCGCTTCAGAAAAAAACCATTATAGTTCTTTAGCTCTAAGAGCCTAGAGAGGATGGCGCGAATCATGGTATGGAAGTTCTCTTCGCCACGAGGTCCTCCTTGCTGGAACTTGCGGAAGAAGATTCTTGGACTCAGTGTTTGCTTGGTGGTTTCCCACCAGCTGTTGCTTCGAAGGTCGTCTTCATCCTGCCAAAAATGAAGATCCCCCTCCATGTGCATCGATTTTCCTGTTCCAGGCTTACCAATGGTGTGGAAGATTGGCTCGACCCCTTCGTCAAGAGCCCAGCGACTGTATTCCCGCCCGCGTGCCCGCAGAGGTTGAAGTTCTTCGCTGTTAGCTTGTGTAAAGTTCCAGAACTCCTCACCGTGATTGCGCAAGTGGGGTTGATTGAGCCAACGCTCCCAGCGAAGTACTAATCTTTCGGGATGATCATCGTCACCTTCGTCAAGAGTCCAGCGACTGTGTTCCCGCCCGCGTGCCCACAGAGGTTGGAGGTCTTTGCTGTTGGCTTGCGTGAAATTCCAGAAGTTGTCACCGGGGATATCAACAAAGTAGATTTGATTTAGCCAACGCTGCCAGCGAAGGGGATGCTCGTCGTCATCGTCTCTGGCGCTAAGTCCAGGAGAGAAGAACCCAGAAGCCAGTGTGATGTAAGGGGCAGTATCGCTCCTTGTGGAATGGCACCATGACACACGATTCCTCTGCAAGGCCCGAGGGCCCAGAAATGTTCTGGCTTGAGGGGTTTCATTATCTCTTGATCGCTAAAGGCAAGTCTACTTGAAGTAGCTCGACGAAGACCCGTAGCGCCCCTGGCAGCTAACCTGTCTCTGGAACAGGTGAAACCGATGATCTCCATCGGGCGACAATCGAGCGTTTATCGTCGCCTGAGGGTCCCTGGGAGTCGAACCCAAACAACCCAATCCTGTTCAACGGTCAGTACGGTTACAATAATCTGACGGTGCAGTCCACCGGCAACGGTACCATTTTCGATGCGCCGGACGGGTCATCTTATATTGCGGTACCTGGCACGCGGCAAGATCAATGGATCCTCTCGATTAGGCAGAGAGACCTTTTTGTCCCCAGCCAATTAGCAATTTGAGCGAGAGAATTATTTTACATTCGCCGGCGCCAGCTTCGCGCTGTTTGCGACCGGGACTGGAAAGCCCTGGCCGCCCCATGCACCGGATGTTGGCTTTGCGGAGGTCCAGGAAACGTATTTTGAGGAGAACTTCCCGGACCACGCTGACAGGGATGTATGATCATTGCAAGAATAATTCTGGTGTCTGCTTCTGACGCTCAATACTTCGGAGTCGGCAACGTTTACATTGATAATGGTTCCTGCTGTAATGCCTACGGTAGGGCTTATTGCAAGACATTGATCTGAGACCCATTCCGACTTTAACACATACATGTACTGCGTCGATGCGCACACGGTAATGGACGATAGATTGGAGAGAATCTTTAGCTGGAATCCAAAGAGACCAGAACCTCTGACGACTGCTGCTAAGACTCCGAGAAATGTGCTTGAAAGACAACAAACGAAAAAGGAAGGGAAGTAGATGTGAGGTACTTCACTAATTGCATCCTTGTCGAGTATACAGTATCTCATCCCAGGCCTAACCCTGATACTGAGCAACATCGCGATCAGTAGGCTCACCTAGAAAAGCAAAAATGCACGACTTCATGATTGGCCTCTTGCCAACTACTGCACACTTGTGAACCTTCATAAGTAGGACTCCAGTCAATGCACGCTACCAACACGAACCGGCAGTCGCCTCATATGAGAAGTACTTTGCCCAAATCATTGACGGAGATTCTCTTCTCCGAGTCAGTGGCCGCGAAGCTGTGGTATGTGGCCAGCAGGGCACTGGGAAAGGCAAGTCGCCGAGTTAGCCCTAATACCGCGCGGGAAGAAGCAATTGCGGGTGCTGCGGCTGGCCTTTGCCTGACTGACTGCTTCCGCAGGCGGAACCACCCATCCTCTACCCAGAATATACCGGTCGAGATGGTGGGAGGTATGTTTATCGAGACCTGAGTTTCTGGACTTCGGGATTCTTCCCCGGGTATCTGTACCTGCTGCTCGAACGGCAAACCATGTACGACCACCGTCATGTCGACAGGAAAACCACCGGTCCCCACCATCTGCAACTCGAGTATCTGTGCCAATGGTGGACCATCAATCTGCACCAAAACGCCCTGCTGAGCACGACGCACGATTTGGGGTTCATAATCGCCCCGTGGGCAATCAAGGCCTGGGAGCTTCAGCAGGACGCGCGCGCATTCAGCACCCTCGTCGTCGCCGCCCACACGCTGGCGCGGCGGTTCTGTCCCCGAGTCCAGGCGATCCGGAGCTGGGACACGTGCATCACCAAACGGTATGCCTTCGAGGATCCGTCTAAGGACTTTCTAGTCATCATCGACAACATGCTCAACCTGGATATGCTCTTCTGGGTCGCGAAAGCGACAAACGATCACCATCTATTCGACATCGCAGTCGCCCATGCCCGCACCACACAACAACATCACATCCGGCCCGATAAGTCCTCTTACCATGTGGTGAACTTCGACGACACGACCGCACAGCCGAAACAGAAATTCACCAACCAAGGATTCAAAGACGAGAGCTGCTGGTCGCGCGGCCAAGCATGGGGGATCCTGGCATTTGCGCAGGCGTTTTTCTGGACACGGGATCCAACTTTCTTGGCGACGGCACAGGCGCTCGCAGATTATTTCATTGAGCATCTGCCTTCCGACGGAGTCCCATACTGGGACTTTGACGCTCCTGTCACAGCTGAGACGCCTCGCGCTACATCGGCGGCTATGATAGCCTCGTGCGGCATGCTCTTACTTTATCGAGCTTTCCGGACACAGGGAATGGAGGAGCTTGCGGGGCGTTATTTACGAGCAGTCAGGCAGATTGTCCAAGGCACGCTGGCATCGTGCCTCAACCCTCCAATATTTCGCTTTGCCGTCTCACCCTCGGAGGAGGAGCTTGAGACGTATGAAGATGGAGCACCATCCGACCATCAGATGAAGCAAGAATCTGACTTCTTGGTGGTTGATGACGGCACAGGGACAGGGGAGGCCCATCATCCGCCAAGAGAGACGATTTTTAACGGGGCGACCATCAACAACTATGAATTTGCGCCGCGACGGTGGGCAAGTCACGGCCTGGTCTATGCGGACTATTACTTCATGCTCTTGGGTAATATGTTGCTTGAACTGGACTTGGTCGAGCCCGGGTTCTAGGATGGCAGCATCAGCCGTTTTATGTTCTTGTTGTAATGGAAAGGTATTATAGAACGAGGCTGCAGTTTGACCATACTGGCTCGCGAAGAGATTGAGTTGCAAGGCGACGAGAGGTTGAAGCCATACTGTACATCGAAGAACTAGACGGAAGACATAGATAAATACACATTTTCACGTGACCCGACGGCTGGTCAGAACGCCCTTGGCATACCGGACAGAAGAGGGCATGTCTACTGTGGATTCGGGTCCCAGAACTGAGATCTTTCTGATGCAGGTGGGGCAGTAAATGGTAGTGGTGCTACCTTGCTCAGGCAGGAAGGGTCTACCATTGTCATTTCCGTCAGCGCGTCATATTGCACCTGCAGCGATTGAGGGAGCGGTGGAAACGCGAGGCTCAGGGTATCATTAAAGAAATCGCTAGGTGATATATGATTCGCGACGCGGTCTTGCTCGCCAAGACCCTCAAGCAAGGACTGCGACTCAATCGACATCCAACGGATACCGGGTTCCGCCGAAGAAGTCTGTGGAGCGTGTGGTAAGGACCCCGTGGAAGCTCCGACGCCATCCCCACAGCGCTCACGGACATCGACCGAAGCCTCCCCGGCACAAGCTACAGACTCGGAGTAAGCAGCTTGTCGAATATTGAGGGGCGTCGCGGGTGATGTCGCATTGCAGCACATGAATTGCCGAGCTTTCGTGAGCCTTTCGCCGAACACCGACGCCAGATTCCGATGATCCGTGGCACCAGGACCAGCCCACCGACGGGATATCTCCAGCAAACTTCCAACGATACTATCGAGCTGGTCTGAGACAGAAAGCCGGGCATGCTGAGAGTGTACTAGTAGCATTCGTCCGGCTATAAATAGACAGAAAGAGAACTGCGGGTTAGCAAGAATGGAGGAGTGCTGGAGAAACAGGCTACCCAGCATTACGATCTCGGAGGCCGCCTCGATACACGTCTCGAGCGAAGTTGCCGACGGAAGTCGCACAGGGCAATCTTTCCAGTGTGCTGGAGGATAGGCCATACTCTGATGGAGGAGAATAAGTGCTGTGTTGTGGGTAAAATGTGCCAGAGTCAGATTCGGATCCATGATTCCGTCCACGTTGAGCACTGCAGCCGATTGCCACTTTTGGGGCAACAGCAGCTTCCACTGCACAAGCCGTAAATCCAGTTCCTTGAATCTCAGCAGCCATTTCTTGGTCCTTTGTACGTCACCGATGTCAAGGGCATTATGCAAGAAGAAATGGACCACCAGGCTCAGCGACTCGGTAGCCTCGATGGCGTAGGCAAACCCTCCGATGGAGTCTTGCCCAGGGTTCTTACTGTCGTCCAAGATTGGACCGCTAGCTCCGTGGCTGAAATGATTGGCGATGCCAAAGAACGGCGTGGTCTGCTCTTGCTCCCGTTGCCATAATGCTCCCTCGCAGGGCAGGCGCCGTCGAACATCTGCGCTCGTCAGGCTCAGGTTCCATCCCGTCGAGACGCTGCAAAACCTGTCCATCAGGAACACAGTCCAGAATACCCGTCTTCGCTCTTCAGTCTGCCACCAGTGTTGCGCTGGTTTTAAGAAGACCATTCGCTTAATGAGATACTCACCCTTCGCTGTTCTCCCCTCATCGTCGTCCCGATCCTCGACACTAAGCTGGAGTTGCTCGACAGTGCGCGTCATGCTGCCGACTACCGACCACGCTGAAGGGCCCCGTCCACTCCCAATCTGCATGGTAGCTGTTATCAAGATGAACTGCCATTGTTGGGGAATGAGCATATGCATACTATATCAAAAGCAATAATCACCAATGCTTGCAAATTCTCCACCGAGAATGACTCCATGCTGTTGAGAATGACTCTCTGGCGACTAGCAGCCGCCATCTCTCCTTTGGATTGATAACCTCCAGCCGCAGGATGGGATGTGAAGCGAACGGAGGTGGCTAGGATCGCATGTAGAATTGGCAAGGCCCTGTTCCAGCCGTCCGGACTGTACAGCTGCTCACGAAACCTTCTGACATGGAGGATGGGAATCCAGGGATGAACATTGGCGAAATGGAAATCAACCAACTCCATCATGACTGCATGCGGTAGCAGCCCCTGCGCAGAGAGCTGCGAGGCAGACCAGTCGTCCATTGTCTCGGGCACCTGCTGTTCCAGAATGGAATGAAAATGCAGTTTTTGGCGCTTTGCAGGACGTGATTCTAGTGGTTTCTGCTGGGCCATGCCATCTCTCGTCTCGTTTGGGTCTTCTTCGTCTTTAGCTTCTCGTCTTTCGTGTTCTCTTTCTCCAATGTCTAGCCCTAGCCCCAACGACCCCATCTGAGTGCCATCCGAGTCAGCCGTCCCGGCTGCCTCTTGCAGCAATCTTTGCTTGACCTCCTCAGATAACTGCTGCACGCTCGCCGCAACATCCGCTGATTCGATGCCATTCCGGGCCGGAGGGGGAATATTCGGCGACACGCCATCCGCCACCGCGCTCCATATCTTCTGCCAGAGCAGGCTTTGGCCGAGAAACATATTCTCCAGCGTGTCGACCCGTTGCTGCAGCCGCTCAACGGCACCGGCGCGGAGACCCGGCTTCGAGCGACAGTCATCATAGAGACAGATGGTATTGAAGCGTGTGCATTGCGCGCACGGCTGCTCCCGGTCGCATTTCGTCTTCTTGCGCCGACATGACTGACAGGCCAAGGACTTGTCCTTTCCGAGTTCTGGCTGATCGGGCTCGCTAGCTGCCATTATCACAGGCGCCAGACGAAACTATTGCCTGGAAGACCAAGTTATGGGAGATTGTATCAGGTACCGGGAAGTTTTTCAAGAATCCTTCACACTGCGTTCACCCCGGGGTTCGGGTGGCATTACCCCACCATTTCCCCGCATTGCATGATTCACAGATACTGTCCCAGGTAGCAACACATGTGATTATTTATCTACTTCTTTATACTTAGTCGTTTCCTTATTTTTCCTGGTCCATCTTTGTCTTCAGAAATTGTCCATAGGTACAGTCCTTTTTGTCTACTGGATGTAATGAATTTTGTATGTTGCGTATTCTGCAATAGAGGGATCCAGCAAAAAATACAGGAGTTATGAAGTAGACCTCGCCAGACTGGCACTCAAAACCGATATTCGCCAAGAGTTCGGATGATGAAAACTTTGCTAAAGCGGCAATCAAATGAAAGATTTCACCTCCCGTAGGACAAAACAGTGGCCGGCCTAATCGCCGGTCCGGAGTCCGTTGGCTGCGGAGGAATCTTCATCCTAAAAGAACGAGCACTTTCCAGATACAGTAAGGTATGTATAGTGGTGTTTATCACTCGACTCGTGGACAAATTATCCACCAATCACTCACTTTCAACCTGCACAACTGGAGCAGGGACTGGAAATTCCCAAAGGACAAAAAAAAAGCCTACTCCGTATGGATGGGAGGTTTCGATGTCGCTCTGCTTCCGCCAGCTTCTCATGCTTCTGCCGCCCAGATAAGACCCCCCCAGCTCGGATGATCGTTGCTGGAAACTGCCCCTTCGAAGCCCTCATAATCCTGGGCCTTGATAGTCCAGGGTGCATTTTCCTTCTGTTTGACCACGTATTGGTAATACAAAAGGTCCCAGATCGGAATCTTGTTGCTGACGCCGCGGTTCTCCGCCGAGATGACCTCCCAGGGACCGTTGACAAGGACCGCTTCGCAGCGTGACCACTTCGGGTCATAGGTAACGGTCGAGTTGAGGTTGTATTCGGCGGCATACTCCGCGGCCTTTAACAGCAAATTGTCCCCTACCTGAAAGAGGTTCACGCCTTGACTCAAACCGACTCTGGCCCCGTAAGCCGACCACCCGATTCCTGACATGGTATGGCCTATTCGATGCGGTCAGTAAGGAAAGAAACCAGCAGGGGTCACTGATTAGCAGATACAATACACACCCTGATCCCGACCGGCCTCCACCGACTGGCCCGTCTCGGAGTTGTACTGTGCGAAGATACCAGCGCAGTTGTCCTGAATGAAGGCATTCATCGCGTAGTTATACAATTGCACATCGTCCAAGTAGACAGCAAAGCTGAGCATTGCTTTGATGCTGACCATGCCGTAGTTGGCCTGGCCGACCACCGCGGACTGGCGCGCAAACAGCCAGTACAGTTGCGTGCTGAAGCCCGAGCCCCCTTGCCACCGGGCTCCGAATTCGGTCCAATTTCCCTCCCAGCGCATGATCTCCGCCGCGTTGACAAACAAATCCCCGTCCAGACCGATCATGAGGGAGCGATCAATCCCGATGATGTTGGTCAGATTGGTCCCCCACGCGTCGAGGATCGTGGTGCTGCGCGTCCAGTGGGATTCGTTCTTGGTGATGTACCATATGAGCGCATTCTGCCAGGCCGCGCGCGCGTCGTGCGCAAAGCTGGTGTAATTGCTCGTCTGCCCGCGGGCAATCACCTCCTTCGGGCCCTGCATCTCGTAACTGGCCTGGGAGTAGCTGTCGGCGCTGAACTGCTGGTAGGCGGAGGCCCACGGGTCCTCACCAGCCAGAACTTTCGTGCGGATCAGTTCCAGGTCATCGTGAGTGTGCCAGATCCCGGGATGGACGAAGTCACTCGGTCGCTTCTTCAGGTAGCTGGTGGAATCGACGCCGGAGAACGTCGCGACATTTGGTATGGGCCCGAAGATTGCGGGCACATCTTGTACCGTACATTGAGCCGGCCTGACAGAGAAAGCGGCTATTGCGGATACACTCAACAGCAATTTCTACCAGTGAGTAAAAAGAGCGTGAATCAATGTGCAGGATATTGCCTAGCAGCGGATTTGAGGACAGCATACGCACCTTCATGGTAGTTAGCCCTGTGCTGTACTTGCTGAGAATCAAAACTGAGCGTAGCCTGATTATATGTCTGATAATCCCTTTGTGCTCTCCACACTTCCTGGATGGTGGTCGCTTCTCGAAACTTTGGGAGAAAAGCTCCCCGATTGTTCTGATCTTAGCGGTGCCCTAATGCAAGTCAGAAGCGGACTCCGGGCCGTGCTTTGCACCGTCTCCGCTCATGGACAACTGGCGTACAGACCCTGGAGTCTGTTGCGTGCATGGCGGCGAACAACCCAGCATATTTTGTCGGCCACATCCAATTTCGCCCATGAGGGCATTTCTCATGTTCGATCCTCAGGCGCACGACTATCTCTAGTGTTTCTATTCATCCGTTTATTCATCTCACAAGCAGTGCTGCAGACGGCACCATGCATTTTCTATCTCTCGCTAGTTCTCTCCTACTGCCCATCACCAGCGGAGCCACATCCACCATCCAGGATCCTCTCAGCTATCGGGTCCTTGCTGGAAGCTATGTCCCTCCCAAATCCATCAACGTTACTACACTTCTGGAGTTTATCAATTCTCGTCCAGATCTAAGTGTTCTCGCAGATGAACTGCAGACAATCGGCGGCTTTCCGAAGGCTTTTGATACTGAACCAACCTGGAGCTTCACCTTCTTTGCGCCCAACAACGATGCGTTTGAGCTTCACACCGGCACATACTTCAACGAATTCAAGTCAACCCCGTTCGTCCATTGCCTGCAAGTAACAATTCACCTTGTCATACAAAGTACTGACATCTTACTAGGAAGGGCAAATGGTGGCTGGGCAACACGCTCCTCTCCCACTACGTGCCAAATACAAACCTCAACTCTAGTAGCTTCAACGAGACCTACCAGAGATTCCAGGTGAGCACACGAGATATGGAGCCTTACGTGAAGCTGACAACAATGCACTCCAGACTGCAAGTTACCTCTATGTCGGCTCGCAGGTTCAAGATGGTGAGATCATCCTGAACAACGTGGCCACCGTGGTGGAGAAAGATATATCAGTCACCAAGGCGAGTCTCAGCTGGTTTGGCTTTGCTCCTTTTCTGTGCGACGCATTAACCGCTCTACACAGGGAACAATTCACATCATTGATCGCATTCTCGACCCTTCAGCCCAGGTTTTCGAATCGGACCTGCCAAGAGTGTCACAGAGTTTCATTCCTGGAAGTTGTTCGAATCAGGATCTGTCATATTGCTGATGGATAAACCTCGTGTGGAGATCGGTCAATCTCTTGTTCGAAATTGGTTGCATCTGAATTGCTCATTTAGCACCTTATATCGTTCGATTTGCGATGGCGTGTGTATCAACCCGCAAGATGAGACAGGAAATGCCAATAGAGTAATGGCTTGCTAGAGAAAATCAATGTCACACATCGATTTGGTTTCATACAAGAAATAACTTGTCGCGAAAAGATATGTATAATCTGAATATACCTTTTTACTTCTCCGTGTGAAGATTGAACTATGTGACCTTCGAAAGCATTTACTTATCATTGGTATAGAATTGGCTGTCCTATTCATAAAATGACTGATGTTGTCATTAACTAGCTACATCCTCGCCAGACCCAAATTGTTCAATATTGAAGCTCAATAAAATAATATGGAGCCAGAAAATCCTGATCCTGAAAGTTCCATTGCTAAAAGGATTCTTCTTTGCCGTGAGAGTGTTCTTGTGAGTTTGAATATACAAGGTACATCATAGATATGTAGCTGAGTCTTCTACAAGATCATAGCAAATCGTGGTATGGGTCCTTGGCGTTGCGGTAGCAAGAGCTCGTACCTTCGGTCAGCTATATTCAGATTCTATTGTTTTGATTCACATATACAGCCTGAAAACAAGGGTCTGATACGCCTGCAGTGTGCCTGAAAATGACCCGATCTTCCCCAGAGATCTTCTGGTCCACAGCTCCGTAACGTTGACAGTAATAGAGAGCTGCAGTCCGAGAGTCTCGAAATCTACCTTCAACTCTTGTGGGTAGCTCTTCTCATTTAGCAGGAGAACCACGTATCCATTCTCCACGCTGCCCGCCCACACCTGTGACGAACCCTCCGAGCTGGCGTTCTGGACATAATTGGCCGGCTGTCCAAGTGGATCTTGACTGATTGCAATGATCTGTTTGTTCGTAAGGACCTTCAACGCGTCATCAGAAAGCTTGGACAAATCTGCTCCGATGATAAGCGGCGACTTGAGCGCCGCCCAAAAGGCGAAGTGCGTTTGCTGCTGATACAGCGTCATCTCCGCGTTGCCGATTTCCAGCATGTCCATGTCCATCCAGTGCCCACGGGACTGGTACTGGCTAATCTCGCGCATCTTTCGAATGATGCTCATCACCGAGCAGCTCGCGTAGCCGGTGTTCAAGCAGTAGGCGGTCTTGCAGGGACAGCCCGTTTCGTTCGCAAAGACGTTGGTGATATCCCCTGACATACGATAGGAGTGACCAATTTCTAGGGCAAATGTGCGTCAGTCAAAACATGCAATTCCACCGCGCACCCCCGCACTGTAGAGTCCATGCGACCGTAGAGACAATACATACCTCCACCCCAGTGCCAGGGAAACTGATAGCCCCACTCACAGACGGAATACAGGATCTCGCGCCCGACCAGCTGCAGGGCTTTTTGCATGATTCCAAACCGGACCTGCGGCGCCTCGGTCATCGCCTGGTAGCCGCCGCAGTTGTCGTATTTCCAGTAATCCACCCCCAGGCCGCCAAGGTCTGCGCGTCGCGCTCTTCGTATCCCCAGCTGCCCGGGCGGAATGCACACGTCAGCATGCCGCTGTCGCCGTACAGTCCGAGCTTTAGGCCCTGGGCGTGGATTTTGTCTGCCAGAGCGGGAATCCCACTGGGGAAGGAGGTTGCATTGGCTTGCAGGTAGCCTTCCGCTGTGCGACTGTAGTCGGCCCACCCGTCGTCCACGAGGACGTAGTCATACCCGGCATCCTTCAGCCCCAGTGTAGTGAGGAGCTGCGCACTTTGAACGACCACCGACTCGTTGATGTTGGCCTTGTATGCGTTCCACGAGTTCCAGCCCATCTGTGGGGTATGAGCTAGGGTGCTCTTTTGCCCTGCAGCTATACACGGGGTAATATGTAGAAAAGCAATAGCAGTCAGAATAGGTTTGACAGTGTTCCGGAAATACATTTTGATAGACTCGATTTGAATAGAACGCGAAACACAGGGGAGACTTTACAATATCAGCCAACTAACACAGATTTTATGTTCTAGTGTTGAACAATGCTGGAGCATGCTCCGGACATTAGGCCGATAGTCCGGACTCGCGTCCAGTCGGCCGTGGTGAGGGATCGCAGAAACGATCCTCGGTAGGTGAAGAAGACTGAAAGAGGATTAGATGCAGCCATGCATCTCCAGCTACTTTTAGGTAACCTTTTGACAAATACTACTGCCAGCAAGTAATATTGTGCTACATCTTTCGTATTATATTTTCAATATGGTGCTTCCGACGCCCACCAACCCCCTATTTACCCTTCCCTTAGATGAAGAAAAGCTATAAGGCTACCAAACCAATAGGACAGGGTCCTACGGCATGTCTGCGGCCACTTGGCTGAACAGGGTAAGGCGTTTCTTGTGCAGTGGCAGGCCTGAACTTAGCGAGGGCTGACTGGACCCATGTACATGGTTAAGAGCGAGTACTGATACGAGAAGCTCTGCGGCTGGATGTGCGGGCTTGGCTTACACCAAGCGATACCATAAATTTGTCAGGAGGTTACGCCACGGTCTTCGTCTGTTCGGGAAAGAAATATCGATAATAGCATGGGCCGCATCTGAACTTGGTATAAATATTCCTTGTGCACCTCAGTCATCAGACCTCGAACCCACGCAGAGCAGTCTCATCAAGAAGATCCAACCTCCATAACCACTGACCTACAGCAATTTTCGCAATATACGACATGAAAATCCCGCTCTGCTTCGTTGTATCAATAGCCGCCATTCAGGCATACGGAGGCCATTTTACCCTATTCCGGCGCGGCGACGGCCAGCCCTGATTAGCAAACGACGGTGGAAGTGGTCTTAAGATTTCCACCGAGAACGAAATCTGGTGCGCCTCGATCGATGATGTATTCCAGTCCGCGATGTTATACTGCAACACTGGTCTGCCCTGCGAGTTCCGTCTCTGCAACAGCCACGTCTGCTTACTGGACTCCTTCAGTCATACCATCCGCACGGAGAACCACACAGGCAAGTGCCTGAGCGCCACGGGCTCATCCGGGCGGTACATGGCAGTGGCTGCGCTTTGTGGACCTTCGCTTCCGGGCGGCACGAAATGCGAGCTAATGGATGAGGCGTGAGAGGGCGAGCAGCACGTACTGTCATCAGGAGTGTCGACCGATGAGGAGACCACATTCGATATCGACCAACGCCCCGGGTTTAATGGTGGCATCGTCTGACCAATTACCTGGGCCAGAGATTTGTCCGCTTACGGCCCAACCGACCCGTGATGAACAACTACGCGCAGACCCACCACATCCTGACGACGCACACTGCCGAGCTACCGACGGCGATCCTCACACCAACCGCACCGATGACCATTGCCTAGCAGATCGTCAACGACAATTTGGGCAACACGGGCTGGGCGGCGTACCCAATCCACCGCGTGGGAACACACACCATCTACGTGGATTTCCTCGGCCAGCGGGTTCATCGCGCTGATGGTTCCTTCTTCCGTGTGCCCTTGTGGCAGCTGGTTCAGGAGTTCCAGACCGATCGGATTCATCAGATGTTGGTGGACGGCTTCATGTCGATGCGATTAAGTGGTCGGAACACGCAAACCGCTAAATTCAAGTTTCTGTATGGCGATGGAGTCTCACTCATCATCGAGATTCATGTGGATTTGCCTTTTTATTAGTTGGATTTGAATTGCTTTCTTTGCGATGCTTTGCCGGTACTCGGGGTGGAACTTGAGGAATAACTCATGTTCTTAGCTCCAAGGGGTAGTACGGAGATGTTGATCTACTCCCGATCATTTGTTGGTTTGATTGACCTCTTGATGGCACGATTTGTCTGCTCGATATTTCTTCTATCCAACGATCGGACTTGTCTCGATATGATGGTTTTTAGGGTCGAAGTCCCGTTTGGGAAGGCGGAATCTGTCCGCATATACTATAGAGTTCGAGACTACACCTAAATAAACCTACCCCTCAACCCCAAACGAACTGTGTCATATCTCACTGCATAATGATATTTAGGTTTTCGATGCTACCGATCGGAAGAGAAGAAATCATCACTGGCAGGTACGTCCATGATGAGTGTCTGTCGGGTGAAGAGAGGCTACCCCGTCGACACCACCAGCGTACTGCTTCGCCAACCCTAGAACCGGCAGAGCCAACTGCTCTAGATGCCTGCTCACGTGCACCATAAGGCTTTTCAACTTGTCGAAATTCTTTCCGCAGAATCGACAGGACCCCTGCTGCGAAAATGTGTCGCTCTGATGGTGGCACTGCTCGACCAATTCCCACAGATTCGGAACATTCATATCCCATTGTGAATCAGGATCCCTTTGCGTAGCCGTCGTGGCCTGAACTTCTTCGACTCTTGGATTGGGCGTCTTATGTTTTCGGAAAAGATGCTGGACGAATAGGTCCCGGCGAAAGCACTGATAGTCGCAATTGTCGTAGGAGCAGACCCAGCTCTCTGGCTGCCAGTGGCTTTGGGTCTCATGACGCACCCATTCGTGTTTGCTTTTGAAGGACGGTTGATACTCACAGACGGGAAATGTGCATGTGAACGGTTGCAGATCGTCAGCGACGTGCTTCGGCCAGTCCACAGCTCTCTGAAACTGTTTGACCTGAAAGCAGGTGGGACACTCGAACTGCGCGGTAAAGCTGGGGCCGCCGCTTGCTCTGGAGGCGATTCCTCTCGCAGAAGTGACAGCAGAGCAATACGGACCGGAGGGACAGGAGCGGTTGCGAATGGCGGCCGAATGCGCGCGCTGGAGCGCGACAAGTCTGTCGTATCGGCGGAGCTGCTCGCGCGCAAATCGATGGACCAACGCTGGGGGGTCCAGCCGGGGGAACAGTTGTCGGATCTGCTGTTCGAAACCTTCCACGGTCGGGTCGATTGTCGATGGCACTACGACCAGGGCATTGATCGCAAGCTGCTGCTGCTCGGCAGAGTCGGCGGACTCGTTGGTGTCATCCCCGTTCGGGGCATCTGCTGCCTCTTGAGTCCCGTTCATACCCTGGAATGTGTGGCTCGCAAGCCCTCCACGCGCAGGTGGGGCCCCTGCACTCGGCATAACATTATCTGCGTGAGGCGCAGCAGTCAAATGTCTCCCTGTGCCCTGCTTCCGTCTACTAAGCACAGTCGCCAACAACTGGGCAAATTGAGCCGAGTGCGGGAGCGAGAAAATCGTCACACCTGCGCCGCTGTCCGGGAGATATGGGTCTGCCCCGGCTTCGAGAAGAAGTCCCGCGGCCTCGTAGTGTCCCCGCCAACAGGCTACAAATAGAGGCGTGGATCCATAGCGGCCGCCGGGCGCGTCAACGTCCAGACCAGGCACAGATGCCAGGAGCGCTTTGACGACCGGGACTAGACCGAATGACGCGGCGTAATACAGCGGATGTGTGGTTTCAATGACCTGGTTCTCGGCCTCGGGGATAAGCGTCTGCACCCAGACACCGTAGTTACCTTGGCGTGGCAGGCACCGCGAGTCGAAAAGCTTGTTGACGAGCTGACGGTCGCCATCCACGTCGAAATCGCAGGCTCCGCCGTGGGTCGCCCAGAACGCGCCTGCGTATGATAGGAAGGGGTGCTCGTGCTCGCGTGCGGCTACTTCATCGAAGGACCATGCGTACCCGGAGCGGAAATCGTCGAGACACAGATAGGTCAGGCAAAGACGAGTCATGGTTTGATCGGCGGTTGCCGGGTCCAAACCGAAGTACCGCACGCTCGAGGTGCGGATCCGGTGGGAGGTCAGAAACTCCTTGACGGAGGAATGGGATAATTTCACTCTTCCGAACTCATCCTCTGTGATGAGCCCCTGACAGATATGGAGCAGGATCCGGGGAGAGATCAGCTTGGTGTCTTCATCAAGCACCGTGCATGCCTCCTCTAGCACGACTACTTCGCTTAGCTCCGACAGGGTGAGCAGTCGCTTCGAAAAACTGAGCCAAAACAGAGTATTGCGGCTAAGCTCCATGTCACTAGGACTGATTTGCTCGAGCATGTGGATATAGACCTCTCCTAATGTCTTTAGGAGTGTTCTCAATGCCTCCCGAATGGATTTCGCGGTTCTGAGGGAGGCGAGATTCTCCAAAGAGAGCTGGGTCCAGCGGAATCTGCAGCAGTCAAAATTGATCAGCATGGTATCTTACTATGCACTCCAGACCGGTACAACTGACGATCCATCAGCACCCTCCATAAGAGCCTCCCACACCTGAGCCTGTAAACGCGAACTCAAATTTCTGAGTGTCGAGTCGTGCTGCAATCTGAAGCGAACGAATGTGTCAATATCATCCCTGATGATACCGGAACTCATATGTATGATCCTGGCATGGCTTTCGGGTATCATGTCATTGGTTCCGGTTACGAAGATTCGAAGGTTTGGGGTAAGTTCCGAAATATTCAGCAATGAGCGTATGAGCTCCTCATAGGATGCACTTTCATTGATTGCATCAATCAAGAGAATAGCCCGTCTGCCATTCGGTGTACAGTTTATTATGGCAGCTGCCACTGCACTCATGTCGATCGGCTGTCGATGTAGATGTGGCTCTGTAGCTTCAAAGAATGGCCGAATATTGTCCAATATTGACGGCACTGATTCAGAGATCTGTGCCACTAACGACCCTAGGATATTCGCCGGATTTTGAAAGTTGGCGTCACTGAATCTGCAGTAGAAGTAGGCGAAGACAATACTGGGGTCCTTGACACTGATTGCAGCCAGCTGGTCGACGGCGTGGGCACTAAGAGATGGTAGTCTGTCAGTTGAATCAGAGCAGGATGCTCGGAAGACTTACAAGAGAGTGGTCTTGCCAATTCCGGCTAAAAGAGGACCGTCAGTCATTTTCAGCATACAAAGACCCTGGCTTACCTACACTTTCCCAAGAGACAAAGAATATTCCGGTCAACGACATCACTCATAATCCAATCTTTGAACGTATGAACGAACCACTTTCCCGTATGATCGACTCGGTCCCTCGAGACTTGCTGGTGGATACTGAACGGGCTGACCGGGGCTAACCATCGAAGCAGTTCGTTATGCGCCGCGCGAGTTTTCTCGTCATCTCGTATCTTAAGGTCTACCTCCAGGGACCTTGCCAGCCTTGTTATCTTTCCGTGGAGATCTCGCTGAAAAGCAAGGTTATCGCTTGTGAGAAGGAGAATCAGCCAAGATTTCACTCGTTCTAGGCGAGTGAGGTGGGTAGTGAATTGTTCCTGGGTGAACGGCCACTCCAGCTTTTGTTTCAATCTCCTCAACCTGCTTGCTGGCTCCTCTAGGTCTTGAAGGAGGAATTGGACCGACTCGCTTGCCTTGTCCAGTGTGCTTTTCAGCGGCTCAGGGGCAGCTGAAGCCAATTTTTCTGTCTCTGGCGGCGAGGAAGACTCAAACTGCGAGTTCAGGTGTTCCAGGATCCCTTTGAGACCGAAGAGTTCCTCGGTCAGTCGGCGGATGTCGGAGCTCGCATCACGGCCTTTCTTGGCGTATGTTAGGAGGCGATGGATGAGATCGCCAACATCGATAATCAGGGACGTTATGGAGATAGGGTCAGCCATTATCCACAATTGAAAGGGGCCGCATGCGAACGGTGAAAATGCCCCAAGACGGATAGCATTTGGTGCGGCTGAATGTTTGCCTTTGCAACCCCTCATTCAGTCGCTCTGGGCACAGACCACGTGATAGTAAGCACGCTTACTTATGCAGGTGTGTGTGACGAGAGCAGGGCTGCAGATCACTCGCTAGCTTATTGTTGCTGTCTCCATTTGGCCTGAATACGGATGACCGCTGCGGTGAGAATATTTTACAGGGAGGTTTCATTTGCCGAGAGGCCGCAATGGTCTTCTATACTTCTATGACAGTATATTGTCGACCGTGTCTGTCTGGATTGGCTTAGATTTAGACATCCTGCCAATTACATTGAATTTTGACTGGCATTGAACATTTTAAATATGTTAAATAACATAGTCAATTTATCTGTTTACAGAAGCCTAGGATAGAATGAAGTGAGAGGTTCAGTACTGGGAGATTATCGATGTATATTTTCCGGCCGCGCCCTAAGTACATTAGACAGATTCCAGTCGCTCTTAGGCTTAAATTACATCCTGCAAGTACCCTGGACAAATCAACCAAACCATTATACTACAGAACGAGTGGTTATTAGGTTAGACAATGATAATTAGGAATGCATTCGATTGTCAATGAATCCTGTTCTAGGCTCTGCCACGTGTGCTGGTTTGCATCTACACATCAAAAACAAGATGTAGACCGAGCCGTCACTACTTTCAGAGGCTCATCACCTCTATAGACAGGAGTTGTGTACGTTGGTATCGAAAGTCTGAAAACTGCTTGCTTCATATATGTTCAACTGTAGAACCTAGTTCGACCTAACTCACCCACAGCACAGAGGTCTATCTCCATGTCGCGGGTCACGGCCATCCGACATGTCTGCATCGGCCCTGAATCTGATAGACACTTCTACCTCCAAGTGGCAGTCACCGTTGCCGCAGTCGCGCAGCCGGTCGGCACAGTGTACGACCGGTTCGGGTCGCTCTCCCATACCACCGTCCCGTCGGACTCCTTCTTAATGAACTTGTACTCGAAAGTCGTGCCAGCGGGGAGCGTGACCGTGGTCGTCCACAGGGGGTTGGAGGAGGTGTACGAGGAGGCCGAGAGTGCGATTGCGGAGGAGGTGTCCCACGAGCTCAGCTGGCTGATCGATCCGGTCAGGAAAATATTCTCGCCGTATGTCGTCGTGACCAGCTCGTTGAAGGTGACGGCAACGCTGGTAGCGGCGGTGCAGGTCGCGGAAGTAGTTGTGCTGGAGGTCTTCGTAGTCGTGCTGCTAGTCTTGCTAGTCGTGCTACTGGTGCTGCTGCTCGAAGATGATGACGAGCTGGAGGAGCCGGAGCCTGACCCGCCGGTGATGGCGATATCGGCGCACCCGAGATAGACCTGCGCGGTCTGATAGCTGTTCCATCTCCATCGCAGCAGGGTATGGTCGGACGAGTAGTTGGGAA